AAAACGTCGTCCGTGGGATTCGAACTCTAGACCTGCCGTCTGGGGATGCGACAACTCCACCACTTCACTAAGTCGCCGCACCCTTACAAATAAAATTATAAAAGTGTTATTATAATGTAGTGGTTAATGATAATATAGCTAAAACAAATGTATATAACATGCTTTTAAATCTTTTTGTAATTGTCAATAATTATAACCAAACAAGGCTTGTGGTGCAATCTCTTGTGCAAAACAAAACTATTAATACTTATATATGGATCTTAAATTGTATCTTAAAAGCAACAGATAATTTATCTTCAAAAACAATTTTTACAAATGCTGATCTAGCTATGCCTCTGCTATCAGCCAAGTTTTTTTTGCCTTCATTGTATTTTTCATATACAAACCAATATTGCAAAAAAATTATCATGAAAATTAGGTAATTTATATACTAGTTTTTTGCAAAGTTGGTTTAGATATTATAATAGTTATAGCAAAATAGAACTAGAGCACAGCTAGCAATCATTATTAGTTTAATATCTAGCAAGTCAAAATTACTTACAACAGCTTTGGAAATCATGCAAATCATGAGCTAAAATTTATCTATTCACAACTTTTTGTGCTAGAATACAAAGTATCTAATGAGTAAAAAGTATGAATAGAATTATCAAAAATGAGGTTTGTGCAAAAACAATACTTGTTAATCTAGGCAGAGCCATTCAAGCAAAACTTGATTATGAGATACAGCATTAGAGATTTTCTAAATACAAAAATATGTTACTATACTGGGGACTTTCAAATATTCAGTGTCTTTTTTAAAACTATTCAGGATAAGATTGAAAAGTATTTAACAATAGAAGCTATATTTATTCAAAGTATTCAAATAGCTTAAAGTGTTTTATATAGAGTATGTTTAGTTGAAAGATCAAGTTTAATTTTAGTATAATTTGTACTAATTATGATTGTCTTATTAATTGAATATAAGTATGTACTAATATTTATTTGGCCTCTTAAAACCCCTGAGTATTCAGATAGGTATCTAGAAGATGAATATGATGCATTACAGGCTTCTCTAGAACTATTATAAATATGATAAATCAAAAGAATATTCTTGAAATCTGAAGAGTGTCTTTATTTGATTAACATATCAATCAATATCCTAATTATATTATTCTATTAGCCAATTATACTTACCTTTGCACGTGCCTTTATATTATTTCAAATGAGTTCTTTTGTAGATACTTTTTTAGTATTTTTAAAATATTTTGCAATGCCAAGTTTGATATTAAACTTATATTCAAATGTTAGTATGCAGATCCAAAGCAAGTGTTAGATTCTTTATCAATTATAGACACTACTATAGAATATAATACAGTTACAGAGATAGACCAAGTGATTTCTATTTGTGAGCCAGACGTATATCAATCTAGTATTCATACGAGTATTGTAGAAAAAGCAAGAATATGCATATAGTTTTGGTATTGCGAAAAGTAAACTAAAATTTGCAATTGAAAATAGTTTAGTTAATAAATTTGTAAGATTGATATCAGAATTTATTAAAAGCCACTCTGGTGTAAATATTAATTAGTGAATGCAAGTTGATATTTCTCAAATAGAAAATCAGCAAATGCAAGTTAATATTTCTCAAATAGAAAATCAGTGAATGCAAGTTGATATTTTTTAAATAGAAAACCTAAAAAAAGCAAAGCACAAAGCATGTCTAAAAAGATCAAGCTCTATACAAGAAGTTCTTCAAGATTTAGATATAGAGACTTCAAGATCCACTAAATTGGCCAATATAGAAACAAATAATAACAATATTAAATCAAAACTGGGGGTTCAGCATTGTAGTAATTGCCATAAACCAGGATATTATACTATTATTTGCAAATTTTTAGAAAATTAAGTATTAAATAATGTGTATATGTATTAGAACTTCTTGTTATCAAACAGAAAATAGCTTGAACTCTTTCCAACGATCACTTGGACCACATTTTTTGAAAAAAACATTTACTAAAAAAAAAAACACTAGACATTGAGGCAACTTCATAGTGTGAGGTCTAAATTATAAAACATAGGAAAATAGATGTAAGATAGCATCTGTTGTTTAGAGGTAGTTCTCATATGCTTCCTTGCTGACAGGTTTAGAGTTTATCACTCACTGCATCATGGCACTTGTCATTTAGAGATAGCTCTTATACACTACCTGCCGACAAGCTTAGAGTTTATCACTTACTGAAAAAATCAATACTATGCATATCATGGGCAAAGGGTTGGATCTAAGTAAAAGAAAACTCATACTCCTTTAAGTGCTCACAAGTGGTCTTTCATTTATTTTTTATTTTTGCCACTCTCACCAAAATTTTTGACAAAAAGTGAGTGATTTGGCTTACTTCTCCAAAAGATCAGCATTGTTTATATTTTTCTAATTCAGACAAACTTAGTAAAATGCAACTATATATTTGTTTTGTTTATCAATATGGTGCTATGATATGGGGAAAAGACTAGTCCCTTATTTAGAAGATATCTGAGTAAAGTTGGTGCCTAGAATGAGTTCCTAACAATAAGACGATGTTTTACAATTAAGATATATTAATTAGTTGCAATTATTATATAATTTTTTAGCTTGCACAGGTTATAATAGTGTTTTTTTTTTAGTGTGTTGTTCATCATGACTGCACTATCTCTTT